GATTCGCGCACGCGCAGGAGACGCCAAGACGGCAGGGCGTTGGCAGCGATTGGGGTTCACGGCCGGGAAGCACAATTCGGGCAACGTCAAGGATAACAACACAATCAACAGCAGCAGCAGCAGCAGCAGCAGCAGCAGCAGCACCAACAACTCACCCACTTCCCGACCTCTTGCTTGAGTTCGGAGAGCTGGGGGTCCTCCCCCTCACAGCAGTGACAGCAGCAGCAGCAGCAGCAGCAGGAGCAGCAGGAGCAGCAGGTGCCTCGGAACCCGACGCCGCCGCCGGTCCCCTCCTCCTCCCCCTCCCCCCCTCCTGCCTCCGCCGCGCCTTCTGCTCGGCAGTGTGGATGTGTCCGGCCGGGCTGGAGGGCCGTCTCTTCTCCTGCTGCCGCAGCCCCGAAGAGTTACTCCTCTCCCGGGACCCCGAGCGGCCGGTAGCGGCGGTAGCGGCGGTAGCGGCGGCGACAGCGGAGGGACGGCCGTCCCCTCTCCTCGACGCCGCCGCGGACGGCGCGGCCGCGAAAATGGCCGCCTTGTTGCCGCTCCCGCTGCCGCTGCCGGTCCTGTCGACGTCAACTTCGTAAGGGTTGAGGACGGACAGCCCCGTGCCAGAATCGCGGTCGAGGATGACAACGCTCCCGCATGCCGAGTCCGCGTAACCCGGGTTCGCGACCGCCTTCGCGGCGGCGGCGATGCTTCTCCCGTAGCTCCTCCTCTCCTCGCTAGCCTCCCGTAGCCGGGCCGCTTCTGCGGCGCCGACACCCGGCGCCCCCTGCTGCTCTGTGATGCGGTCGTGGAGCCTCGTCCTGCTCGACGACCTCTCGTGCTGCTGCCGTGAGCGACCTTCGGCCGCTGCCGACGCCGACGCCGCTGCGACGTTGTCCTTGGACAGGCCGCCGCTGGCGCGGCTGTGGCTGCTACTCCTGCTGCTGGCACCGGCGTTGTCGTCCACCGCCCAGCCGGGGCCCTGCTGCTGCTGCCCGCCGCGGGCTCTGCCCCCGCCGCCGCCGCCGCCGCCCCGCCCCTTGCTGTTCTGCTTCCTCATGAAGAACATGTTCTCTTCCGGCAGCCCATTCGAGGCGTTGTTGTCGCTGTCTCCACTGCTGTCCTTAAACTCTCGAATGCCGCGGCGGCGGTGGCCCGACGCCCCCGGGCCCTCCTCCGCCACCGACTCGGCCACCGGCGGGAACGCCCGCTGCTGCTGCTGCTGCTGCGGCTGCGGCGGAAGGATAACTTCACCACTACAGCGACCATCACCTCCACCGGCAACGCCGCCGATCGCCGCTTCATCGTCCTCATCCTCATCGTCGTCGTCTTCATCCTCCTCCTCCTGTCCGGCCAACGCCGCCACCGCCGCCACGGCCGCCGCCGCCGCCGCCGGCTGCTGCTGCTGGCGCCGCCGGGGCTCGTACCACGACCCCGACCTCCCCCACGACCTCTGAGCCGCGGCGACGCCTGCTCCGCCGCCGCCGACAACGGCGACCCTGGACTTGGGAGTTCCACGGGAGGCGTTCCTGCCCGCATGCGGCAGGCTCTTTCGGACAGGTCGGTCGCCGCTCGTGTGAACGGTCGGGACGCTGCGGGGCCTAACCTTGGGCTGCGAAGATGCCTCCGCAGGAGCGTTAGGCGGCAGCTCTCCTCCTCCTCCTCCTCCTCCTCCCGCCGCCGCTGCCGCCGCGCCTTCTTCCTCCATCTTCTCCGTAGCCGCAGCGCCGTTGGCTTGCTTCTCCTCCTGCTCGTCCCTGCTGAGGCCCAGCAGCGCCCGCCGCTGCCGCTCGGGGGAGATGCTAGGCGTCCCCCTCCCGGCTACTCGCAGCTTGCGGGGCCCCGTCCTCCGCTCGACGCTGCTGCTGGTCGCGGTGCGTCCCCGCGGAGCTGCATCCCCCGCCCCGCCCGCGCCGCCTTCTTCCCGACCTCGGCCCCGAATCGCCCCTCCTC